ATATTCCCTGTACTGTGCTTTACATCCCTGTGACTATTTTGTAACTGCCAATCTGTACTTCTTGATCCCTTTAACTTTTTCACCAATTTCCTCACCACACCTACCCTCTGGCAACTACCAAAATGCTCTTTATATCTATGTTTTTGTTTTTAATTCCATGACGCTTCCACTGGACTCTTAGCCAATCAATATTCTCTTTTTGTCCAAAACCTCACATATCACTGTTTTTATTGTCTTCTTCTTCTGAGTGTAAAACCAAAATGATATCTCACTCTCTGCTTATGCTAGTTCTTTCCTTCTTTTGTCAAACTTGAAAGAATCAGTTAAACTAGCTGCCATCCCCTCCCGACTATGAACTCTCCCCTTAACTCTCTTCGATCTGATTCTGCCTCGATCCCCACGTTCCACTGAACCTGCCCTCTTGGAGGACACTGAATAGAACAAAGCCTTTCTCAGCCGTCATCCTTCCTTCACTGCATGCTCTTGGCTCATCCTCTGTTTTGAAAATTGTCTCCCTTGGCTTTCAAAACACCCCATGCTCCTGGTTCTCCACTTACCTTAATTAATTTTTTCACCTTCTTTCTTATCAATATTTCCTAAGGGTCTATCCATGTCTCAGTTATAACTTTTCTCTTGCTATGTGACCGTTTATACACTCAAGATTTTGATTTTTGTGTTTTTATATAGCTCCTACATTGATAACAAACTTGAACAATGCATTTGCAAATGACTACTGAAAATATCCTTGTGGATAGGCTCTTAGCAGGCCATTTCAATACATCCAAAATGGAAATTATTAATTTCTCCCCTAACCTGCCATGTCTTCTTTAGAAGTTCATGGCATCACTTCGTATCCAACCATATTAAAAAATTCCCAGAGTTGCTCTAACCCATCTTTACCCTTAAATCTCTATACCCAATTACTCACCACCTCTGAATGTACAATGTTCCGAGTCTAAATCCTCCTATCACTTCACAACTAGCCTTGTTCTGCCCCATCATCATTTGTCAGCACTTGGTAATAGACTCCTAACTGGTCTCCTGTCCCCAGACTCTTACAATGCCAATCAGTCTGTGCACTGCTATTCTAAACTGTGCAAAAAGATACACAGATTATTCCACTGTCTTCTAAAAAAAAAAATACAACCTATTACAGAATTTTTGGGCTTTAATTTTACAAATTATTTGCATGTGTTTCCTCATAAACATGGTGTTTACTTTTCAGTTTAAATCATATTGTAAGGACAAGTTTTCTCAGTGATCAAGGGGTGCTGCCAGGTAGTAGCTACAGCTACAGTCCTCTTGTAGGACACATGTTCAATTATGTTTCTAGGGAGCTTGTTTTCAGGGAGACAAACTTTGGGGGTCTGACTGATCGTGGTTTAGTCCTCTCTCTCTGACAAGCTGAAGTTCCACTGTCAACTCTAATAAAAATAACCAGCATTTATTGAGCACAGTCTCTGTGCTAGGCACTGTTCTATTGCCATTTGTTTTATGTAAAACACAAAACTACTCTCTGAGAGAGATATTATCCTTATCTTTCTGGCAAGGTAACAGGCTTAAAGAGATTTTTCCAAGGTCACCTGGTTTGTAAATAAAAGAGCTGAGATTTGAACATAGACATTTTAACTCAGAACCTATGCTTTTTGTTGTTGCTGTTGTTGTTAATCCTCACCCAAGGACATTTTTCTATTGATTTTTTAAGATAGAGTAGAAGGGAGGGAGGGAGAGAGAGATACATCAATGTGAGACTGACATTGATTGGTTGCTTCCTGCATGACCCTGGCCGGGACCGAGGATCGAACCTGCAACCCAGATATGTGCTCTTGACCAGGAATCAAACCCATGAGGCTGACACTCTAACCCTGAGCCAGGACAAGCCTGTGATTTTAAACACCATTATATACCATTTCCATTGCAAGGCTATATATGACATGTGTACACTAAATATATGTAAATTATCTGGCAAGAGTTTAATACATATCACTTTACCTTCTCCCCTATATGTCAAAAAATAAATGTTATTATGTTTTAAAATGTTTAATGGTTTTCAGATATGTATGTTTTGTCTGGACAATTAGATGGAATCCTCTTTCTGGTAGGTTTTATTTTTTTCATTCTCCAAAAGAATTCCAAACAGTTCCTTATACATTGTGAGTCCTCAACAAATGTTTGTTGATTGACACAGTGAATAAAAGTCTGTTTTATTTACACTGAATAAAATTTAGCTTTCTCATAATTAATTGTTCTTATTTTCTTAGTGTAAATAAAAAAAGACAACAAAAACACTATCTATAAGTAATATAATTATATATTACATATGTAATAGATTAGATAGATGATAGATGATGATGATGATAGATAGATAGATAGATAGATAGATAGATAGATAGATAGGGCTTTGAGATTTGTTATCTAATCTTTTCCTCCCATAGTTTATTTGTAAGATGGCACCTCTCTCTAAATTTCAATGTTAAGAAATCACTGACTCTCAGGCACTTGTGCTTTTTGAAGCCAGTGAAGACCCAAAATAAATTTATACAAAACAATAATTGGTATTGCTCAAAAAGACAGTAAGCAGTGTCAAGAGGAAAAGGTGATATTACTGTTTTGGATTTGAAAAGAACGATTTCTCTCTAGCTCCAAATATCTAGACCAAATATATATATATATATATATATATATGTATATATATATATATATATATATATATATATATATATATTTCCTGCAGTTTAAGTTTGTGAAACTTTTCGCAATGAAATTGAATGCATTTATTCCGTTATTGCTTTGGGATGCTGTTATATTTTTTAAGATCAGTATTTAGATAAAAGTTTATTAAGTATCCGGTTTTTAAATAATATCTATTATATTTTGTCACATAAGGTTATTTTCCCCCATCTAGTCTAATATTTTCTGTCAAGAGGGATACTTGAAGGGTTTCTTTTCCCTAGTTTGAATATAGTTCCTAATGTTAAAACAAACTTTGAAGGGAAAAAAAAATCACTACATTTAAGTACATTTTATGCATTTTCTAAATTTAAAAAATATTTTTGCCAAATCCCCATGACTAGGTGAATTAGAAGATTAAACAGTTAGGAAAAATAGTTACTGTAACATTTTGCTCAAAGTGCTATGATGCTCTCAATCTGTCACTTCAAATGGATTGGTGCACTCAAAGAGTCAAGGGAACAGTTAAGTAATAGAAAGAAAATTTGATTGGTACATTGTGTAAGAAAACAAAAACCAAAGGCAAACTCAATATGGATTCCTTTGACAATATCAAATAATTACATAGGAATAGTGGAAACCAGCTCTAACATCAACATAGATAAAACAATAAAAATTTGTTCTAAATTTTAGAAAAATAAATTTACAGAGAGGACTAATACATGGAATCTCTTTCTTTGGGGAATTCATGACAAAAAATAGAAATCTACTTTCAGAAAAAAATCAAATACATTTCCTCTTTTGAATTAGAGTATACATTGGACAAATACTCTCTGGCACTGTGAATTTCAGATGTCGCCCACTTATAAACCAAATGTCTTTGAAACGTTCCTTTCTAAGTAGCCTGTTGCGCATACATGTTGAATGTGTACTCATAGAAACAATAAGTACACATGGAGGTGTGTGTTGTATAGTCCCTAAACTGTCATACCTATTTTCTTTGTACGCAAGCTTTCTTCCCAGAACAGAGAATGGTATTTTTGGAGTCTTGGATTTCTTGGAAAAGCTATGCATGCACAACATTTTGAAAATAATTTTCAAAATAAAGTTCATAGTCTGTAAATCTACTTCTTAGAGTGTGGCTTTCCTGCCTCTGAACCTTCATGTTTCTCTAAATAAGGACTTAAATCTTGTTTCAGGGCATCTCAGTGCTGCCCACCTTCTCCTGGAATTCTGACAATAATTTGTCCTATTAGTACTTGAAAATATACCTTGGGTATAGACTCAGATTGAGCTCTCACATAAAAGCACGAAGTTTTAAACTATTATTTAAGAAGTTCTTCCACAGTGCTATGTAAAAATACATAATTACCATGTTTAATTCTCACAATAATGTTAACTTTGTCTAGTTCAGATATGAAAAATTAAGTCCTTCCTGAAGAGTAATGTATTATTTTAGTTTTCAAATTCACAAAGTAAGTAACTTAATATTGTGCACTATTTAACCACAATGTTCTGATTATATCCACACAGATTCCGTATTTTCTGCAAAGGAGTGATAACAGTTCCAAACTTTTATTTAGGGTTATATCTATGTTCTTATAATACTTTATTGCTGTCATTTCTTATAATTGCTTAATCTTTCATAAACATCTTTTTTTAATTCAAAGTCATTGCTTCTGTATTTAGTACTTCTATTTGACATTCATCATTTAAGTTCACATGCCAGTTCCCAAACCCTATATAAATTGTCCCATGCAAATAACCCCCCTTTCTTTTTAATCTTCACCCAAGGATATTTTTTCATTTACCTCCAGACAGAGTGGGAAGGAGAGGAAGAGAGAGAGAGACAGAGACAGAGACAGAGAGACAGAGAGAAAGAGAGAGATTGCTTACCTCCTGCACGACCCTGACCAGGGCTGGGACTGAACCGCAACCAAGGTACGTGCCATTGACCGGAATCAAACCTGGTTCAAAGGCTGACACTACATTGCTGAGGCAAACTGACCAGGGTGCAAATAACCCCTTTTTGTTTCCTCTAAAATTTGCAGTATTATTTGTAATTAAGAACATCTTCCCTGTTTGATTGGAATGGTCAGCAAGGAGTTATCTTTTCTGCATTCACCTGGAGAATCTATAGACACCTGTTAATTCACTATGTCTTACATATTTAACTCTCAGTAGAAGAGAAGGTCTCTAGACCTATAAATGTCCTGATGAGGAACAGAGGAGAGTTAACCCAATATAGCATCTGTGTCCCTGGAGTCTCCAAATTAGGTTATTTGTGTGTTGTCCATTTATTAAATCACACATCCAATAATATTACTTACGCGTTGAAATGCTCAGCGAAAATCAAGTTGGTGGAGGTACCAGTGATTGTTGTCAGCCCACCAATGGTAGAAGAGTAAGTAATGCACAAGCACATAAGCTTACACATCATGTGGTCCTTCTTTGTTGGATATGTGTTTCCTGTGACTGGATTCTGTTCAACAAGAAAATGTACTATTAGAACAGCTCTATTTATAGTCATGACAAACAGTAATAGCTTTGTTATGGACTGAATGCCTGTGTCCCCCAAATTTCATATGTTGAAACTTTACCCCACAATGTGATGATATTAGCAGATGCAACCTTTGGGAGGTAATTAGAGTTAAATTAGATCATAATGATGGAGGCTTGGTATGATAAGATTAGTGCTATTGTGAGAGGAAGTAACAGAGAGCTTGATCTCTCTCTACCACGTAAGGACACAGAGAAGGCAGCCATCTGCAAATCAAGGAGTGAGCCCACACAGACGAGGATCCTGCTACACCTTGCTCTTAGGCACTTACTGCCAAAACCATGAGAAATACATTTATGTTGTTCAAGTACCGGTCTATGGTATTTTGTTATGACAGCCAGATAGTACAGCATTTATCTTTCCATCAGTAGAAATGTAGCAATAACCATATATAACCTGAAACCACTGAAATGTTATACAAAAAACATAGTTTCATTCATTTGCTCATGCTTTCTTATTCCTAAACCAATCCTCTCCTCTTTTCTTTCCTTCTCATCATCACTCCCAAATCTTTCCACCGTTTTTCTGCTGAACCAGTAGCATGTGGCATCAAGTTCTTCAATCTCTTTTTGGAGTGTTTTCCTACTTTGGCAGCTGGTTAACTATAACATGTTCATGAATAACCCTTAAAATATCCTGGCCTTACAGATTTTTTTTTACCTCATTTCCAGAGACCCTCATCTCTGCTCTACCTTAAGCATCCTCTCCTATAGTTCTACCCTGGACAGCAGCACATTTTCAGTGACTCTGTCTTGGAAATCACTACTTCTAATGTGTCTTGTTTAAGAATAGGACTCCCTAGACAAAAGCAACTTTATTCCTTTTTTCACCCATGACCTACATAAACACACTCTTGTTGGTCTGATTTTTGCTATCCCTGCGGTTAAATCTGGTGCAGAATCTAACTTTTTTGGTTACTTTGTTTAATGAAGTCTTTCAGTCATGTTTAGTAAAATAACAACCTCATTTGAGTAGTTGAAATGAACATTCCTTCATTTAATATTAAAAGTCTGAACTTTAAAATTAAACCTTCTCCCCTAGATCTAGCCTGCTTAGAAGCCTATGGCTGGAAGAAGGTTAGCATGTTTGGTTTTATCTCTCTCTTAAAGCTCCAGTTCCTTCTATAACTTGCTAGTGTCAGCTTCTAAATCCTTCATATTTGGAGTGGCAGAGGATAGATAGGATCAGGAGAGGAGTGGTAAGATTTAGCAGAGGTTTTATTTGATTGATATAATTAAGATATGACATTAGTACCCTTTAGGCTCGGTGGAGAGTCAAAATGACTTCTATATCTGACAGGTTCTTTTATGGATTCTTAATAGATTTTTATCACTCAAATGATAACATTAGAGTCATGCTCCTTCTTTGTAGGTAATGCATCTCTTCCACTTGGTTGCTTATGACACACTTCTGATTTCTGCATGGGATGGTCCACCCACATCTCTTTATGCTGAGGTCAACTTGCCGTATCAAGAAGTTCTCTTGGAGAAGGGCTTTTCAAATGATCCCAAATACCACTTCTCTCATATATTCCTGATATTTGGTCCATGGGGAATGGGCACCTCTGCCCTGTTGACAGTAAAAATGTAGCTGAGACTCCATTAGGTAAGGAAATTCAGAAATTGTCTTTTACTTCCAAATTTTTCAAGTTGTGTCAAATACTAGTCCATTGGTCTCTTCTAAATCTAGGAAACAGATTCTCAAGTTCTCCAAGTAATTGTTTCTCTATCTCACCATCTTGAGTTAAGTGGGAGGGAGGCTCTTTCCTTCTCTCCCCATTGATGGTACAGGTTAGAGGTAGTTTGGGAAAATATTTCAACTTGCTCCAAAGATATACTATCTCTTAGCCTTCTCTCATCCCAACACTAAATTTAAGAGTCTAAAACTTATTTTTGGTTATTTCCTTTGCAAGTCTTGTGTAAGTGCAATATGGGAATACTTATGATCTGTGCTTGATATTAGAGTTCCTCGGGAATAAAAAGAGTCTCATTTACCCCTTTATTAACAAAAAGTCTGCTCCTTTGCCACAGTTTTGTTTTCCAACTTTGTTGTTGAATTGCTCCTATCCTTTCCCTCCTTCAACTCTATTGGCAAGTCTAGGTGATTGAAGCATCGAGTTATTCCCAGTACATTGGTCTACTTACTTTCCTATCCAGTTTGGACTCCATGGTAAACCAATAAAATAACTGTTTAAAGGCTTTTTAAGCCACTTTATTGAAGTATGATTGACGTGTAAAACACTGTACATAGGTAATGTATACAATTTGATGAGTTTGGACATAAGTATGCACCCATGAAACTACTGCTACTATCAATAACTTTCTTAACAAAATCCTGAACTTTCTTTCTTGTCTCTCTTTGAATGATAGTTATTTAGCAAAATTTCAGCTTTAAATGAAACCAATCATTCACTTTCTCTGTGTCATGTCTGCCCCTGAACAGTCAACTGCTGTTTGTGACAATGACATACCTAGCAGAGGAGACTGGATTTCCTGTATTCATGACCAAAAACTTCAGCTTCAGTGTCCTGGTGCCTCTCAGTCCTACTGTGTTTCTCTGACCCAATTGCTATACCTGTCTTCACAGGAAAATTCTAAACCTTTCCTATTCTCTTCATATCTCCTTCTCAATGATCCCTCCACCCCCACTCTTCACAAGTAGCTTTGTCTCCTATTCTACAAGAAAAATAGAAGCCAGCAGACAGGTCTCCTCCTTCTCTACATACATAACAGAGTAAATGTCTCCCCTATGACTTCTTATTTCTGTACCCCATTCCCTCAGGCTTTCTCAGAAACCACATACAATAGGCTTTACTGGAATTTTTCTATCAACATTTAATCATTTTCAAGTCATCTTTACAAAAGAAAAACAAAAACACTTCTTAATCCTCTTCTCAGACTGAGGATTACTGCCTTAACTCACCTCTATTTTCATAGCCAAATTACTCAAAAGAGTTGCATACCTAAACTGACTCCATTTCTTTAACCACTTTAATCTAGTTTTTTGTCTCCTCAAACACCCAAAATGCACTTTCCATAATTATCAATAGCCTCCATATCACAAAATCCAATAGATACTTTCTGTTTCAATTTCATAGAGTTCTCAACAGAACCTAAAAACATTAATCTCTCTTTTCTGCTAAAAATTGTTCTTTGGATGTCTGTGATATCTCACACTTGTGGTTTTTCTTCTACATCTCTGCCTGTTCCTCTGTGTCTCTTGCCAGTTTATTTTCCTTTATCCTCCCTCAAAACTAGAATTTCTTAAAACTCCCTCATGGGCACTTGTTCCTTCTCACAGTAATATCTCTCCTTAGGAAACCTTATATATTTTCATTGTTTTAATTAATATAAATATACCAGGCCACTAAACACCTGTCTTTAGTCTAGACTTCTCCTTTTAGACCTAAATATCCAACTGTTTGTTCAACATAATTCGAATGTCTTAAAAAAAGACTCCAATCCTAAAATCTTCAAAACAAACTCATTATTTCCTTCCTCAAATCTAGTTCTTCTTCAAGATAACTGATATATGAAAATAATATCACCATGACCATAACATGTGCTTAGTATGTAATAAACACTATTTTAAATTAAAATATAATAAATGGTTTAACTATGTTATTCTTACAATACAATGAGGTTAGTACTGTAATTATCCCACTCTGCACTGGAGACACGTGCCCCAGAGAGGTGACTTGCCTGGAATGGCAGACTTAGATTATGAAACCATGTAAAGCTCAGTCATTATTCTATATTGCTTGTCCTCCTTGAAATCATTCTCTTCCTCATCCCACCAAATCGTCTAAATTGTATCTACTTAAATATTTCTGGACTCTGTTCTGTTTTTTCCATCTCCATTATTGTGTTGGTCTCAACTGACATCATTTCTGATTGGGTTACTGTGATAGCCTCCATATGGGCCTCTTTGCATCAATTCTGGCCCGTTTCAGATCTGGTCTACACACTGCAGCCTTCCAAAAAAAAAAAATCTAGATGTATTTAAGAAATATACAAACAGAAGGATCATCCTGTTCCATAGCTGAATGTGAGTGACATTGGAACAGAAAGATCTTTTTGAGAAATCATGAAAGGAAAACGTCCTACTCACTAAAAGCCATCATGGGTATGGGAATGGCACTTAGCATGACAGGGGCGGGTGCACTGGATTGTAATTTGCCTTTTACTTTCTAATTAATTTAAAGGTTAGTCCACAGGGTATCTACATTTTATCCCAAATAAGTTAAGTTATAAATGTCCCCTTTGCCTTACATTTCCTAGATGGAAATTGTTTGTATTTCATTTGATAAAAGTTTCCATTGAAAACTTGAAAACTAAATGATAAATAAATAAAATAGCAAAATTAGTTTATAAATTCTTAAGAGTGAAACAAAGTGAATCTGGGGTTTAAGTATTATTTTACTATTAAAGACTTCAAACACAAACCATAAAGTGATGTATAATTTGGATATTATGACGTTGATAATCAAAATGAAAACTTAAAGATATAATGGGTATAAAATTTCTCATTATCACATTAAAACTTTCAAAAATACAAAGAAAAAATTAATTTTATTTAATATCTTAACGGCAAATATATGCATATATATATAAAACACTATGATTAAAATGCACTGGAAGCTATACAATTCAAAATAAATCCCTTGTTCTGGCCGGTTTGCTTAGTGGTTAGAGCATTGGACCACAGACCAGAGAGTTTCAGGTTTGGTTCCCGCTAGGGGCACATACCTCAATTGCAGTTTTTACCCGGCCCCAGTTGGGGTCGTGTGGGTGGCAGCTAGTCCATGTGTCTCTCTCACATTGATGTTTCTCTCTCTCTCTTCCTCCCCCTCTCCCTTCTGTTCTATCTGAAGATAAATGCAAAAATGTCCTCAGTGAGGATAAAAATAAATAAATAAATAA